TACGGAAAGACTATGGAAAATTTGAGGAAGAGAGTTGATGTAAAATTAGTGTCATCGGAAAATGACCTCCTAAAACTTACGGCATCACCGTGCTTCCAGTCACATAGAATTATGAATGAGAACTTAATAGTGGTAAAGCGAATGAAGGAAGTTCTGACTCTAAACAAACCGTGCTACGTTGGAATGAGCATCCTAGACTTATCCAAGACTCTAATGTATGACTTCCATTATAACACAATTAAAAAGGAGTAGGGTGATAGGTCAAAGCTACTGTTCACAGATACCGACAGTCTAATGTATGAAATAAAGACTGACGATGTGTATGAGGACTTCAGGAGGATCGGCGAGGAGAAGGACTGCTGGGACAACTCAGATTATCCAAAAGATTCGCCGTACTACTCAGCTCACAATAAGAAAGTAATCGGTAAGTTTAAGGATGAAGCTGAGGGAGTACCAGTGATTGAATTCGTAGGGCTAAGGTCAAAGATGTACTCATATGTAAAGGAAAGTGGTGGAGGTGGAATGACAGCAAAAGGAGTGAAAAAGTATGTGATCAGAAACAAACTCACTCATGAAAACTTCAAGAACGTAATTAAGACTAGAGGCCGGAGGAGACATAAGATGAATACAATCAGAAGCATCAAACATAAAATCGGAACTTACGAACTGAAGAAAATCACACTTAGTTGCTTCGATGATAAAAGGTACTTACTTGAAGATGGTGTTACAAGCTACGCGTACGGACACCACTTAATAGGAGAAGTAAGCGCTGAGGTGTTGATTGAAGAAAAAACTGAACCGAGCTGTGTACTAGTAAGGGTTGAAACTAAAAGTGAATACAGCAGACTTGAAAGGGTAGTAGAACTCTACGAAGGGCCTCCTAGGGAAAATCTGGAACCAAAAGAAGAAGAACATATCCCTAGACCAAAACATAAAGTAGTGGTTCCCCTAAAGAGGTTTAAGTTCAAAAAATCAACACCATTGAGGGTAGTCGTAACCGACGAAAATTACCTAAAAAAAAACTACGACATAATACCAAAAGAACAAAAGGAATATCTAAGAATGGTGTTAGGTGAGAAAGCGAAGTCCCTGAACGTTCAAGTTATAAGAACCCCAGGAAGTCACAGGTTGATTGTAATAGGATTTTAAGTAAATCGTTAAATAAAGAATTTAGAAATTAGATGAAAGTTGATTGAGAATCTCCGAAAAATATTGCAAGTAAAAAATGAGTTAAAAGACCATTGAAAATAAGAGGGTTTCCAGTTCGAAAAACTGAGACTGCGGTTTTTGGTTGAAATGGTCGAAACCGCTGACCGGAAGTGAAGACAATCGCGGGCCGAAAAAGTGGTCTAGAAACCTCATTCCCTATACTACTATTTACCCTTCAAAACTTAGAATTTACTCTTCAATATATCGAATTTACTCTTCAAATCTTGGAATTTTCTCTTCAAATCTTAGAACTTACTCTTCGAAACATAGAATTTACTCTTCAAAATTTAGAATTTACTCTTCAAATATCGAATTTACTCTTCGGAACTTAGAATTTACTCTTCGAAACATAGAATTTACTCTTCAAAACTTAGAATTTACTTTTCAAAATATCGAATTTACTCTTCAAATCTTGGAATTTTCTCTTTAAATCTTAGAACTTACTCTTCGAAACATAGAATGTACTCTTCAAAACTTAGAATTTACTCTTCAAATATCGAATTTACTCTTCGGAACTTAAAATTTAGTCTTCAAAACTTAGAATTTACACTTCAAATCTTAGAATTTACTCTTCTAAATATCGAATTTACTCTTCAAATCTTGGAATTTATTCTTTAAACTTAGAATTTTTTCTTCAAATCTTAGAATTTACTTTTCGAAACATAGAATTTACTCTTCAAACTTAGAATTTTCTCTTTAATCTTAGAATTTACTCTTCGAAACATAGAATTTACTCTTCAAAACTTAGAATTTACTCTTCAAATCTTAGAATTTACTCTTCTAAATATCGAATTTACTTTTAGGAACTTAAAATTTAGTCTTCAAAACTTAGAATTTTCTCTTCAAATCTTGGAATTTTCTCTTCAAATCTTAGAACTTACTCTTCGAAAGATAGAATTTACTCTTCAAAACTTAGAATTTACTCTTCAAAACTTAGAATTTACTCTTCAAAATATCGAATTTACTCTTCAAATCTTGGAATTTTCTCTTCAAATCTTAGAACTTACTCTTCGAAACATAGAATTTACTCTTCAAAACTTAGAATTTACTCTTCAAATATCGAATTTACTCTTCGGAACTTAAAATTTAGTCTTCAAAACTTAGAATTTACTCTTCAAATCTTAGAATTTACTCTTCAAAATATCGAATTTACTCTTCAAATCTTGGAATTTTCTCTTCAAATCTTAGAACTTACTCTTCGAAACATAGAATTTACTCTTCAAAACTTAGAATTTACTCTTCAAATCTTAGAATTTACTCTTCTAAATATCGAATTTACTCTTCAAATCTTGGAATTTCTCTTTAAACTTAGAATTTTCTCTTCAAATCTTAGAATTTACTCTTCGAAACATAGAATTTACTCTTCAAACTTAGAACTTACTCTTCAAATATTAGAATTTACTCTTCGAAACATAGAATTTACTTTTCAAAACTTAGAATTTGCACTTCAAAATATCGAATTTACTCTTCAAAACTTGGAATTTACTCATCAAACTTAGAATTTTCTCTTCAAATATTAGAATTTCCTCTTCGAAACATAGAATTTACTCCTCAAAACTTAGAATTTACTCTTCAAAATGTCGAATTTACTCTTCAAAACTTGGAATTTACTCATCAAACTTAGAATTTTCTCTTCAAATATTAGAATTTACTCTTCGAAACATAGAATTTACTACTTAAAACTTAGAATTTACTCTTCGAAACATAGAATTTACTACTTAAAACTTAGAATTTACTCTTCAAAATATCGAATTTACTCTTCAAAACTTGGAATTTACTCTTCAAACTTAGAATTTTCTCTTCAAATATTAGAATTTACTCTT